AGTGCCATCTTTATAAACCTTGGGGGTGTCTGTGCTTGGTTTCGTCCACCACTTCCTTTACCGGTCATCAGTGCCATCTTTATAAACCTTGGGGGAGTCTGTGCTTGGTTTCATCCGCCACTTCCTTTACCGGTCATCAGTGCCATCTTTATAAACCTTGGGGGCGTCTGTGCTTGGTTTCATCCACCACTTCCTTTACGAGTCATCAGTGCCATCTTCATAAACCTTGGGGGCGTCTGTGCTTGGTTTCGTCCACCACTTCCTTTACCAGTCATCAGTGCCATCTTCATAAACCTTGGGGGCATCCAGTGAATGGAAGGAAGCACAGATGATACTTTATTTTAGCTGAATTCCTACAGGAACCATGGTACCTTTTCGGCAATGAAGGGATGTGAGCCCAGGTGTGTGTTTTGGTCTTTGTTGGGATCGCTGTCCTCTGGCGTCTGTCAGATTCTGCAGCACCGGCGTCCTTTTCTCAGGAATGCTTCTCAGTGGCATCGTTTGCTTTGGTCATGCTGTGCTCACTCCTCCGCATTTGGTGCCGCTTTTCCCATCGCCAGGAGTAACAAGTACCTGTGATCCAGTAGCTCTTTGTTCTTTTTGCCATTTTTCCAGTCGGCCTATTGCTTGACTGCTCACTTCCTGTATTTCTTCCTTTTGCCTTCCCTCCTCCCGTGACTAAAACCAAAAACACCGTCGCCCTCAAGTCACCACGTGTTACAGAATAGAACTGCTCTAACGGGTTTTTGTGGCTGTAATGTTTATGGAAGCAGTTCCTTGGCTCTGTCTTTTGTGGAGCTGCTGGGTGGGTTCAAACCACTAACCTTTACATTAGCAGCTGATCACAAACAGCTTACCCCACCCAGGCTCCAGTCCCCCACGACTAAACCCATTGAATATTTGGTTTCATATTACAAATGGAATATATTTATCATAGAAAACTTAGAAAATACAAGAAAAGTGAAAAATAAAAATAATATCATTCAAAAGTACCACCACTCGTATGTATGAATTTTTGTACGAGAGACTAACTAGAATTGTTAAAGCATAACAGTTAAAACAACAACCACAGCGAAAGTACCACCACTCAAAAATAACAAAATGTTAGTGTTTTGGTGTATTTCCTTCCACTTAATTTTTTTAAATTGAGGTATAATTTACATATAGTAAAATTCACTTCCCGTTAGTATTTGTGTGTGTTTTTTTGTGTGTTAGATACAGTTCTATCTACCTTTTCAGTATTTCGCAGACTTTCTCCTTGAGACCCCTCTCCTGGCTCTCTCAGGCAGTACTCGAATGCCTTAAAAGTATAATTTCATTCCTTCTTAATTCCTCCCATTTTGCACTAACTGTTCATTTTTTTCCGTCTTCGGCCACACACAGTCCTTCTGTCCTCTTCGTCGGTACCTTCTCTTCCCTAAACTTCTTGTCTTCTTCTCATTCAGGTGGATGTTTAGTTCCAAGAATTTACTTGCCGTGTTCTGACTTTAACTGTCTTGGTACTTTACAGGTCATTAACTTTTACATGAATCTTCTGGTGGAAAGAAATAAAAAGCAAGGCTATCCAGCACTCCACGCCTTTAGTACTTTCTTCTATCCTAAGCTGAGGTCTGGGGGTTACCAGGCAGTGAAAAGATGGACCAAGGGGGTCAATCTCTTTGAACAAGAACTTATTCTCGTGCCCATTCATCGGAAGGTCCACTGGAGTCTGGTGGTGAGTTAGACAGTTAATCATTGAAACTTGGGTAGAAATTATTTTCTTAAATAATGAAGGCTACCCTTTTGTATCAGTGAAAGGCCGACGTTGTATGTCAGAGGTCTGCTCAGAGAGTCCCTTCTTAGTTCCTGAGTCAACAACTTGGGACGTTAGAAGACGTACTGCCTGTACTTGAGGAGCTTTCATTCCTAACAGGAAAGGGTTTTAGAAAGCACATGGATTATTTATTTTGGTTTGTTTACAAGATGACACAGGTTTATTGTAGGCAGGTAAAGGTATGAAGAAGAAAGCAAATAAAATCCTGTCGCCCTGAGAAGACCATTAATGTTTTGATGAAGAAGTTTCCAGGCCTTTTTCTAGGGATGGAAATACATAATTTTGTACAAATAAAACTATCATCTGTGATGTTTTGAAACTTTTTTTAACTAAAAATTGTCTTAGAAATCCATTCAGCTTGATACAAAGATTGATTTTTTAAAGATGTTTTTCTTTTTAGAAATGACATTTTTACTCCTGCTACAGTTAAGAGGTTTCTGCATGTTGTATTCTTCCATTATAGGTGATAGACCTAAGGAAAAAGTGTCTTAAATATCTGGATTCTATGGGACAAAAGGGCCACAGGATCTGTGAGATTCTTCTGTAAGTAAAGGCTGATGAACTTCACTGTTGCCTCATTGTACCCTTATGAGATGACCTGTCTTCTGTCTAAGCCAAGGAAGCACTGGCGGGATAGCAGTCTAGTGTATAGTTACGGCTGTCTTCCCAGGCATTCAGGACTTCACTGGAATCCATCTTTTTGTCTAAAAATAACCTCATATCTGATCTCAGCTAAGAAGTCTCGTTTAGCGTCATTGAAAATAAGTTTGTCATTTGTTCTCCTGTAAGATACTCCTGTCGGGATCCTGTGATTTGAATTAGATTTCTTTGGGATTGGTGCATTTTTCCGAATGTTGTAAAGAACTCTTAGCTGGGAATTATTATACCTGTGAGTCCTGAAGCCCACGCGTCTCTGTGCTTTTCATAATAGAATCCAGGCCTAATTTTGGAATTAAATTGTATGGTTTGTGGGCAACTATTTCAAATAGTAATTGCTAGAAACCTGCCTTTAACGTGTGGCCGGTTTGGGCTATGTAAAGTGGTGACGGGAATTTGATAGTGAGGAGATGTATCAGTCAGATGAGTCCACGTCGAACCTCTGCTCACTGAAAGCAAATGCGGGTTCCTGCTGCTGACTTTAGTAGGATAAACGAACTCGTTACATACACCTTACGACGAAAAGTTGTTATTACCAGTAAGTAGTTCAGTTCTCTTTCTCTCTTTTTGCAATAATGTTTTAGTGGAAAAGATCGTTTTTATTTATATGTGTTTACTTGGGAAAAAGTATAGAGAAGAAATTTTAAAAATTAGAAGATACACCAAGTTCTTTATAAAGTAGTTAGTTCCTTCTAGTCTTTTCTAGTCTTCTACACATTTTGTGTATAAAATGTGTACACTTTCATATGTGTGCACATACAGATGCGTACACATTGTCACACGCACAGAAGTGTTCTTATTGGAATCATACGGTGTAGTTTTGATTGCTGCTTATAATAGGATACAAAAAAAAAAGACTCACGTTGTTATTACATTCATAGTTTTTCTTTCTTTTTTTTTAAGTATGAAAGGTTAGCCCCTGTGGGTATCCGGGGCCCACTCCCTTTCCTGATATCCCTCACCTGGTGTTTCTCAGTCTTTTTTTCATTATCACCCCCTCCTCCAAGTAGAAAAATTTAATTTCTCCCTAACATGAGAAATTCAACACTGAGAAATAAGATTTTATTGGGTAGAGTTGAGCTACGGAGGGCCAGCAGCCATGGCAATAGGTGAGATTTTTGCCACCCAAGAACCAGTTTTCACCCCTTTGCCGACAGTATTGTCCTCACTGAGAGGGTATGCCCTGGTTTAACACTGGCCTACTTCCTGGGCAGGTGAGGGAGAGAACTGAGATGCCTGGGCTGTTAACATTGGTAACCTGGAGATTTGGATAAAATCGGTTACCCGTAATACTTCGGTGCACATCTGCTAAGAGTAAGGACGTGCTGCTAGATAACCGCGATGCCATTATCACACTTAGGAAGATTAGCAAACTGTAACATCATGTAAGAGTCCTGGGCGGTGCAAACGGTGAAGTACGCAGCAGATAATCGAAAGGTTGGTGGTTCGAATCCACCCAGGGATGCCTCGGAAGAAAGCCCTGCAGATCTCTTTTCAAAAAAATCAGCCATTGCAAACTCCACATGGCACAGTTCTACTCTGGCACACATAGGGTCACAGTGAGTTGGAATCGACTCCATGGCAACTGGTTTGGGTTTTTGGTATTTTTTTTAAATATCATGTAATAAACAGTCCATATTCCAGTTTCCTCAGTTGTTCCCCACGTGTCTTTTATAGCTTCTCCCACCTCAACCTGGAAGCCAGTCAGGGTTCACACATTGTTCTTAGTGTCTCTTTGGTCTCCTTTAATTTGGAACAGTCTTTCTACCTTTTCTTCTTTTTCCTATTAGTGGCTTTTTTTTTTAACGTGGCCAGGCCAGTTGTCATGTTTTACATTTGTGTTTAAGTGAGAAAAAGCAAGTTGTAAAATGAAAGATAAAGAGCGAGCTCACCTTTTAAATAAAATAATTATTTTCTATTGTGTGTATGGGGGTGGAATAGAGAACTCCACAGCAAACGGTTAATAGTATCTAATTCTGGACTAGTTGTTATGGGAGTCTTTTGCTTTGTACATTATTTTGCATGTGTTTTAATTTTTAAAAACAAGCGTGTACAATTTTTGTAACAGAATGAAAAAAAAGCTCAAAAGTAAATGTAAAGACCAAGAAAGCCATCACATGTAAGAAATACTAATGGAAATGGGTTTGGGAAAGACCTCTCTGTGAAACATCATAAAGTCCTGTGTAACCGTAATGTTATGTCTTTATAGCGATTCATGGATGTGTCCTTTGTTGTTTTTTCAGTCAGTATTTACAGGATGAAAGTAAGACCAAGAGAAATACTGATGTGAATCTTTCAGAATGGACGCACTACAGCATGAAGCCACACGTAAGTGAAGGTCGTCTCAGTGGGAAATGCTTTCTCGTATTGCTGACAGCATCACGCCGTTCAGACAGGCTTCCTTTCTCCCCTCACGCACCTCTCACGCGTGCGTTCTCCTAAAACGTACATCTGAGGAATGACCTGCTTCTGAATCTTTAGCAGTTAGTTTAACCAAGATGGGTTGTTCTTAGCCTCTGTCTTCTTCTTCTGAATGTAAATGCTTACTGCCTGCTAGCACCTATCTCATAGAATCGAAGAAGAAAACAAACAAACCAGTAAACTCAAGTCAGTTACTTTTCTTGGAGGGTGCTAGTTAAAGGTTAAAGCTCTTCTCCAGAATTTCTCTCTGGGAGGCCTCTGGGTCCTCAGGAGTCCAGTGTGGTGTTTTCAACATGCTTTGTGTCCAGCCATGTTTGTATCTCAGTTTGAAAATGCACACCCAGCTTTGCGTCCTAAAGTCGGCTACGTGAATTCAGCTTTAGCCCGAAACTGTATAATGGCTCAGCTATCTCTAGCCAAAAGCATTTTTGTTTTGAAGTTGAATAATTGGAAGGTTAAGCTTTGAAATTTCCTGAGCAGAGCACGGGTGGAAGAAGAGTGTGTTCGGATGAGTACTGTGTTTTGATACAGGAAGTAGAAAAGCAAACAAATGCTCTTCCTTTTTGGGTTGGAGTCTGTAGTCCTGTCCACTCTGAGAGATGCTGGCCTCTGCCGTGTTTCTAGTGGAGGAAGGTGTGCGGTGCCTGCCATGTGAATGGGGGCATGATGCTCTGTTCCACAGTGACCATCTGTATTTCTTTGAATACGGATGGACTGTTCGCATCTAGTATGTTTTCTAGCCTCTCCCACACTCTTAGTGTTGTGTGCTCCTTAGGACTGGCGGCCACATGTGTAAACGGCTGCTCAAGATGGTGCCACACCACAAGGGCTGGGGGGGCGGGCGAGCTCACCTCGGGTGGGTTCCCGCAGCCCTTGGCTTATTAGGGCCTAGTGCTGTTCGCATGAGTTCTGTTTTAGCCCTGGGACAGACCCTGATTGATTAAAGCTGATCAGGAGGCTTCTTTCTTTCTCTTGCTTGAAGCTGCGGGGGTCCAGAGAGATCCCCTGCCTAGGGAAGAGAAATGAAACTCTGCAGTACTGAAGTAGGTTGGTTGTATTGTAAGTATAGTTCTTATTGAGGCACACTTAGCCATTTTCAAAATTTATGAACGTGTCTGAAGAAGTTCTGACTAATATTTCTGTTCCTGAAGTAAACCTTCTTTCAGTTTGATTTCTTTGTATTAGAGCTGAAAGAGGGAACTCTCACTTTGCTTTTCTCTTTTCTTCTGAAAAACATCTTCTGTGAGGTCACATACTCCACGTCATGGTTAGAGAGTTTATACCGCATAGAGTAGACTAGTTGTGTGTGTGTGTGCGTGCGTGCGCGTGTGTGCGCGTGTGCGCGCGCGTGTGTGTGCGTGTGCGCGCGTGTGTGTGCGTGTGCGCGCGTGTGTGTGCGTGTGCGCACGTGTGTGCGCGCGCGTGTGTGTGTGTTTAATCCTCGATGTAACATTGACCTTTACAGGATTGTTTATTCACAGTGAGATTTAGAAGAAGTCAAAGGAGTTTGTATCTGATGGTGTTTTACCCATTCCTCCCTTCTTTTCTTTTTTTTTTTTAAATTTTAGGAGATTCCTCAACAGCTGAATGGGAGTGATTGCGGAATGTTTACTTGTAAATATGCAGATTATATCTCTAGAGACAAACCTATCACATTTACTCAGGTGAGTGAAGACCGGTCCTCATCTTCTTACTTGTTACTGAATTAGATAAACTTATAACACTTAGCTAGTACCTGGCGCACACTGAGCTCTCAGTGTTAGCTGGGCTACTGTTACTGTTGTAGCCACAGCCCTGCTCTCCCCAGGATCAGGCTTATTGTAGTCCTCAGTGACCGGTGGAGCAATTTATGTATCTTTGAACTCCAGTGTTCACGGGTTCCTGTATATCACTGATATTTTTGGCCAACGAAGGAAGCACGTCAGAATATGGAACAGCAAGGAAAAAAAATCAGACCTGAGAATTTAGCCACAGGTCTATGAATACTCCTTTTCCTTTCTGTTCTGGTTAATTTTGGTTCTTTGTGGCTCTGCGTTTGAGGAGAAACTGGGGTATGTTGGGAACTGTTGAACGTTTATGTTTTTAATAGTGGATGCTCAACACTTTTACAACTAAGGACAACCCACTTTATAGCAGACATCCTATTTTGATAGATGTCGTCTATCAAACAGACTGTACTGAGTAGTACAACGGGTAACCCCGTTTCTAGCTTTTGAGTAACACGAATTACTACAATTGCAGTCTAAAATAAAGATGCTTATTACTGATTATTATTACTAAGCAGTTTTAGTACGAATAAATGTGCATTTTTTTGCTAGATGATTTGAGCTATTTAAAACAATTTAAGAACCTGTGTGTTAAGACTGTCGTAGTGAAAAAACTACAAATCTGTTTAAAACAAAAACAAAGCATTTTATTATAGTGGGAGAAACAAAAGCCTTTCACGGAACGGGAGATACAGTGTTGGGAGAGTCCACCGGGGTGCCCCAGCTAGCACAGCGTCACCGTCTGAAAAGGCAAAAACCGCCAGCGGGGAGGGGGCGGCTGGAACATCGCTGACGGGTTAACATTCACAGAGTTGCAGGTGGCAGAGTCGTGGTTGACCGCTCTTGCAGGAGTCGACCTTCTTTGCAAAGAGGGGGCTCCAGGTGATAGGACATGGCTGACCAAGAATTTTCTGTACTTTTTAATATACAGTTATGCCTTAGTACAGAGTATTGAAAAACGGGGTCAGAAAAGCATTTCTTTGGGGGGGGGGTCTAAGGGTATGGCTTAGCTACTAAAGTGACATGTTTAACACTGTGTCTAACACCTGTACAAAGCTGCATAATCTCTTAACATTGGCCGTTTCTAACCACAAATTTGAAATCAGCAGAGCAGGTGGGACACATCTGCATTTTTCTGTAGAACTGCTTGTTTCTAGGTCAAAGGTACAGTGGAAATTTTACGGAAGTAATAGACTGCATTATATGACAGAAGCTGTCTTTAAAAACACAAAATGGAGTCACTGAGGGCGAGAAGGGATTTGGCCCAGACCTTAGTCAGAAGCTTCAGTCATGTCAAGAGCCTTAGCTTGGATGCTCTTCCTCAAGACTCTTTAGACTCCCACCCCTAGGTAGGAAATCACTACTTTATAGTAAAGCGATATATCCAGCTTTTTATAATGATACGCCAGGAGTACCTCAAGGGAGTGAGACTTCTGATTCATCAAAGAAAAGATGAGTTAAGTTATGGGTAATTTTGGAATTGCCTCGTGTGCTTTGAAAATTAGCACCTGTAGTGAATACCAGTTAAAGGAGAATAATGTGTTAAGCAAAACATACCATTCTTTGATACTGCTAAATGGCAAGGAATTGATTATTCTCTGAATCTAATTAAATGAGATTTTTTTTTTAAAGCATTTTCTCTTTTTTTATTGTGCTTTAGGTAAAAGTTCACAGAGCAAATTAGCTTCCCATTCAGTCGTTTGTACATCAGGTGTTCCATGACACTGATCACATTCCCCACAGTGTCAGCACTCTCCCCATTTTTGCCCTGGGTTCCCTGTTTCCTTTCATCTGGATTTTCTACCCCTTCCTGCCTTCTCATCTTTGCTTTCGGGCAAATATTGTCCTTTTGATTTCGTATAATTGATTCCTGCCTTCTCATCTTTGCTTTCAGGCAAATATTGTCCTTTTGATCTTGTATAATTGATTGTTCTAATGGACATGTTCCTCTTGGGTGTTATTGTTTATTTTATGGGCCCGTCTCTTGTTTGACTGAAAAGGTGGTCTCCGGGAATGGCTTCATTTCCAGGTCAGAAGGGCGTCTTAGGGCCATAGTCTTGGGGGTTCCTCCAGTCTCTGTCAGACCAGTAAGTCTGGTCTTTTTTGTGGATTTGATTTTTTGTTCTATATTTTTTTTCCCACTCTGTCTGGTTCCCTCTGTTCTGAACCTAGTCAGAGTGGTTGGTAGCGGTAGCTGGGCACCATCTAGTTCTGGTCTTGGGGTTGTGTGGGCTGTGGTTCATGTGGTCCGTTAGTCCTTCGGATTAACTGCTCCCTTGAGTCTTTGGTTTTGTTCACTCTCCTTTGCTTCAGATGATAAGAAACCAATAGTTGTATCTGAGATGGCCACTCGCAAGCTTTTAAGACCCCAGACGCTACTCCCCAAAGTAGGATGCAGAGCATTGTCTGTGTTGTGCTGGTTGATGTAAATGTCCCGAGTCCATGATCCTTGGCCTTCAAACCTAGGAACTTGGTCCTGTGAGGTGTTTGGTTACGTCTAAGAAGTTTCCGTGACTGTGCCCCCTGTGGGCTCTATTGTCTGTGGTTGAGGTGAGGGTGCCCAGGTCGTCGGTCACTGGGTGGGTGGTATGGAAGTTCTCGCTGATGGTCCCAGGTGGGCAGGGCTGTGTGGGGGTAGCCGGAGCAGGCACAAGCCTCCGGTTGGGGGGTGGCGTGTGGGGGGTGAGGCAAGGGGGTGCCGCCAGTCCACCAGTGCCTACTAGGAGGATGTGTCCCTGATTGCTAGATCATGATGCGGGGGAGGGTGTGCCACTGGTCCTTGGGCCCCCGGCGCAGGTGGCTAGAAGGATAGAGGCACTGCTGGTCTGCAGCCCCCCAGCACAGGTGGCTGGATGTAGGAGCGGGCACCTCTGGTTTGCAGGCTCCCGACACTAGTGACTGGGTGGAGCAGTAGGTGCCGCTGGTCTGTGGGCCCTCTGCTCTGGGGGCGGGGCGGTGGTGGGTGCCACAGGACCATGATCCCGTGCTGGGTGGGGTGTGGGGGGTGTGTGAAGGTGGGGCACCGCAAGTCCTTGGGGTCCTGGCACGGGGGTTCGAAGGGCAAGGTGGGTGAGGTGAGTGCACTTAGCTTCCACAGGGTGGGGAGCACTCCTGCCTGGCTCCTGTTTGCTGCACCGGTGATGGGGCTTTGGCTGGGAATGCTGCTTGCTTTGTCTCCGCGTGGCAGAGCTGTGCAGGTTCAGCTGACCGGGCACCGGTGATCCATAATCCTTCATATCTGCTGTTTTTGTACAGTCTCTCCTTCCACTTGGCACTTGGTCTGCTTCTTCAGCCTTGCCTTTGATGTTCAGGGTTCCAAGATTGTCGTCTCTATCCAGGTCACTTGTTTTCTCAGTCTTTGTTGTAACAAGGATGTTACAAGTATCTGACTATGCTGCCATCTTGGACCGCCCCCTCTGAAATAAGATTTTAAGGGGAGAGGTTTCTATTTGAACAGAATTGGCAATGTACAACATTTGATAAAGCAGAAAGAATTTGTGTTTTTTTTCTTTATTTAAATAAAGTTCATGTTTTCCTCATATAAAAGCAGAATATATTCATTTTATAATGTTCTTAAAATGTATGTAAATAGAAGAGTTAGCTGTTGTCCCACCACCAGGGTATTTTCAGTTTTGGTTCACGTTTTTATTATGAAATTGCCAACGTACTCTATCGTGTTAGTCTGCATTCTGCTTTTATTTTCCTTACCTGTAAACATGCTTATGACACAGAATTATAAACCTCCTTTTTCATGGCTTCCTAAGTATGTACCATGACGTCACAAAAGTGAAGGCTTGGGGACAGGGAAACGAGTACGGGAAACAGAACAGATAGAACAACGGACTTGAGAAAGTTGAAACACTGTGAAAAATGTCACCACTGTCACTGAACAGACTGTAGAAATTGTTAGATGGGAACCTAATTTGCCGTGTAAAGTTTCACCAAAAACACAATAAAATAAAAAAAACAAAGTCAAAAACCAAAAAAAAAAAAAAAAATCCCATTGCCATCGAGTGGATTCCAACTCATGGCGACCCTACAGGACAGTGGAGCTGCCCCATAGGGTTTCCAAGGAGCGGCTGGTGGATTCAAACTGCCGACCTTTTGGTGAGCAGCCGCGCTCTTCTAGGTCAAGGCTTATGGAACGGACACGTGATTGCGCCTGAGGTTGTGACTCTGTGCGCGGTCCCGTGTGACGCCTTTGCGCGGCCCCGGGTGACGTCTGCGCGCGGCCTCGTGTGACGCCTTTGCGCGGCCCCGGGTGACGCCTTTGCTTGGTCCCGGGTGACGCCTGCGCGCGGCCCCGTGTAACGCTTTTGCGCGGCCCCGGGTGATGTCTGCGCGCGGCCTTGTGTGACGCCTTTGTGCGGCCCCGGGTGACGTCTGCGCGCGGCTCCGGGTAACGCTTTTGCGCTGTCCTGGGTGACGCCTGCGCGCGGCCCTGTGTAACGCCTTTGCGCGGTCCCTGCTGACGCCTGCGCGCGGCCCCGGATAACGCTTGTTCGTTTGTGGGACTCTCTGCAGCACCAGATGCCTGTCTTCCGGAAGAAGATGGTGTGGGAGATACTTCATCAGCAGTTGCTGTGAGTGTGCCCGCCCGTCCCGCTGGCTGCTGGTGGTTCTTCCCGGATGGTTTCATATACCTCATGCCTTGTGGGCTGAAAACTCCCCGCACCGTCTCTGTTCTCTTCCAGGTACTGAGCTGTCGAAAGTGCATGGCGGCCTCTGACCGCACCCCAGCCCTGACCTGGGGTGTGGAGGCCTGCTTGCAGCTCTGTTTGTGAGGGCTGTGCCTGCTCAGAGCTCTGGACTCTTCAACCCACACAAGAACAAACGCTAAGTCATACTTTTTTTTGGAACATGTTTTTTCCCGGTGAACGTGGGAATGCAGGTTTTATTCTGATTGTTTTTTCCTGTGTGTGTCCGTGCGTATTCATCTGCTCACTCACCTGCAAACAGAATGGGCAGTGGCCGTTTCCCCTGCTCTTTTAGATAACTAACTCTAAGTTCCTTGTTTGAACTATTTATTTCTGAAAGGAAAGTTAATCAAGCTACCACTCCCTGCTGAAGGTCAAGAGGGTAATCCGTGGGAGGAGGAAGGAGGTGTTAATTAACTTCTGTAACGCTGGAGCGGTGACTGCCACCTTGAAGCTGGAGATCTTTTTTTTTGAGGCCTGAGCGTGCGGGGAGAGGTGCTCTGGCGTAGGGCCGGTTGCCTCTCGGAGGAGGCCTGACACTCCAGCATTGGCCTGGTGTTGTGGAAAAGAGGAACTGTGGTCAAGGAACTCTGGCTCTCCAGCGTCTTCAGAAGAGTGTCACGGTCATTCTAAAGAGACTTTCCTCTCTGGAAGTGAGGTGACTTGACTTTCTCTCAAAACTGGATTTGAAGTAATTATAAACCCCAAATCTTCACTCTCACCCCAGATCTGGTCAAGCGGAAACCTCAGAATTGTAAGGGCTGGGCCTGAGCTGTTTATTTCAAAAGATACTATTCAATCTAAAGCTATTTTTCCTCAAAGTTTTTTTTCTATATAAAGCCAGAATTAAGTTTTGTACTCATTGGGATTAACAGTCCCCTACCCTGCCCCCACTGAAATTTGTGGAAGAAAATTGAATAGTTGGCTCTGAGGTTGCCAGTTACACAGTAATCTATTTTGCATAAGAAAGTTTGTATTTAACGTTTTTGTTCATTAAGAACCTTACAGATGTAGTTATGCATCTTGAATTTCAGAAAGTTTTAGAGTTGGTCAGAACGTATTTTCCAAGATCTAGTGCCTAGTGTTGCTTTTTCGATGTAATAAAAGGTAGTCTGACAGAACCTGAGAAGTATATGCTGACGTGATTTCTAACCCTGTCCCTACTTACACCTCCCAAACTTGGCCTGGTGCATAAAAGCAGGAGGCGGAGCCAGAAAACGTTGGCCCATGTTAGCGACGAAGCGACACGTCTGCCCTCGGAGGGCCCAGGCTGCGGGTCGCCGAGGCATCCTGGGGGTAGCGCTGCCTGTGGTTTTCCCGAGACCTGTGGGAGTCTTGGTGCAGGACCAGGGCCTGTGATACGCACTGACGGTGCTGTGTCCACCTGATGGCCAGACCAGGGGCCACTTGATGCCCTGATGAGCGAGCTGGTGGTGCTGACTCTCCAGCCGAGGCTGCGCAGAGACGCCTTCCTGCTGCCCGAGCTGTGCCAGTGAGTCCTGGGGGCAGGAGCTGGCAGCCCGGGATTCACCGGGCCTCAGCCTACTCAAGAGCCAGCTCCCACCCGGCCCCAGTGCACAACACCTGAGAATTTAGTACCTTGATTCCGATTTGACCCCTGTTGGGTGAATCCTGTCAGAAATGGCAGCTTGTATTCAAATGAAGGGGTGCTGGGGGTTCTTTAGTATTCGAGGGGCTGCTTAGGAGCAGCTTGCACTCAGCTTTCCATTAATGTGCCCCCTTCAGGACCAAACTGAAATGGTAAGAGCAGAGTTAAGATCTAGAGCGGCATTCTCCCTTACCCTGAGTTTCATACTGAGTAGGATGTGCTGCAGGTCATGTTTCTGTAGGCACTGACATGTCTTCCTTGCTGCAGAGAAACTTGCTGGTAATCACTTTTTTTTTTTATTTCTACACAGTTTATGAGAAAAGGGGTCAAGTGATAAGAATAGCTGTTTTATCAACAGCACGTTGCCGACATTAAAACCAGCGATGTTTCTATCGCAGTAGCTTGGGGGCCTGAAGAAAGGTGCAGTGACCGGCATTCTGTTTGTAGTGGCTAGTCTCTCCTGAAGATTGATAAAGTAAAAATAACTATTGGTGAGCCTGTGTCTCTCTCGTCCGCCCTTGTGCCAGAGCGGGGATGGGGCGCGAGAGATGGCGCGGGAGGGAAGCAGCTTGGAGCCTGAGGAAGGTGCTCTCCGGAGGCCCGTATTTCCCCTCGGTTACCTAAAGCTGTTAGAACCTCCGAGCTTTTCCTCCTCCCAAATCCTAAGCACAGCTTGGGGAACCCCATGCAGAAGGGTGGATATTTGCCTGCACCGTGAGGAGTTTCCTGATGCTGGGACAGAGGCGGGGGTGCAGGGAGGCCTCAGAATATAAATAAATAGGCAATGTAGAGAAATTTAAGTTTGCAGTAATTTTAGTACCGTAGTTAAGCTACATTGTTTCCGTTGGCTTTTGTGGACTTAATCGGGAACCTAATCTCTTTATAACAGTTTCTTTGAGGAGAAACTCCGAACATGTGAGAGCCAAACAAACTTTTAGTATCTAACTCATTTGTAAGTTGGGAGGCCCTCTAGCTATTACTTTGATATATGTGTGTGTGTGTATATATAGATTTTATTTACGTAATATATAGCAGGAGGGGGTTTGGGTATATTGGAATAGGTGTTGTTTTTATCTCTTTACCAATAAATTCACCCCTTTAATTCCGTGGCTTTCCAGTTTCCTTTTATTACAACTCCCAGGATTGAGTGTGTTTTGTGTTGTGACCAGTGCACACGTATCTGTATGAATACACAGACACTACTTGCTCCTTATCCTTGCTAGTTTTATTTCAGTTTTTTTTTTTTAAATATGGGTTGTGACCACTCAAGTTGATTTCCCAATTCATCGGTGGATAGAAGTTACACTGTTCTAAATGACCTGACAGCAAGATGCAAGTTATGTTTCAAACGGTAAAGCTTGAGACCACAAAAATAGGATAAATGTGAAGCTGTTTTGAGATGGATCAACCAGATCTTCCAGGAAAATGGGCCAGAAGCATTCAGACCCTCAGTGGGAACGTGCGGTGTGAACAGTTGTCCTTCAGCGTCTACATTGGCGTTTCCCAACGTGTGTTTAGTAGAAGTCCTGTCGCTTCTGCACAGGACTTGAAACACAAGGGCTCTATGAACAGATGAGTATGTTTGCCATGTCTTTTCCTGCTGGGGATACCCATCAAACGTTCTGAGACGTTTACACTGACGAAATCTGTCTTGACCTAGCGCTTCCCAAAACTTGGACTTGAGCCCTCCTCTTGGCAATTCCTGTTAACATCCCGTGGAACTGTTTTATGGGATGCACTTTGGAAGTGCTGGGAGAAGCAACAGAGTTCATGGAAGCATGTCTTTTAAATATACACTGGAGAAGCTTTGCAGTGCCCCCTCCCCTCCCACTGCCTTCCTTGAGGGCATATGGGGACCATACAGTCTGGTCCCACAGTACCACCCTGTCCCGTCTTAAACAGTTTTCTTTATGACATCAGCAATAAATGTTCATGGTAGAAATTTAAGATACTGATTAAAAGGTAAATAATAAGAATTATGCAATCCACCACTCAGAATTAATAACTTAATATTATATATATGGTTATAAGGCCCTTTTCCACTTACTTTATTTTGAACATCTTTTCATGTCAGTAAACGTTGATGTCATTTTAATGGCTTCGTAGTCTTCCACTGTATGGCTGTGACATTCCCTCCAGTACTGTTGGACTCTGGGCATCCCGGCTTTTACTTTATGGCCACTAAATGTCCAGGTACGTACCGTCTTTGACAATGCTTACATTATTCCCTTAAGAGAAATTCTTGGAATTAAAATTTCTGGGTTAAAAGTTATATATGTTAAAACAAATCAAAACCAAATAAATGAAACGGAAGAATCAGGAAATCCACTGACTGATATTTTGACTTTTATGTCTTCCAGCCCAGGGTAATGATTTATGTCTCCATTTACTTACATTTTATGGTAATTTTCATGTATAGTTCATTCTGAGAGAGTTATTTTTGCCGTGATTTGCAGATGAGTTTATTTTAAACTAGTCGTTGCTGGCATATAAGAAAGTTAGCTAGTTTTTATATACAGGCGTCCTTCCTGGATTACCATTTGACTCCCAGGCTCGGATGCGATCCTTTGCAGAGCAAGAATTTTGTAATCGGCAAATTCACTTAACTCTTACTAGTTTTGAAATTTTGAAAAAATTTTCTGGTTTTTTTTTTCCCCCAGGATTTTGAGGGTAATAATAATAAGTAATTATTTTCTCCTTTTAGGTATTTCTCATTTGTTGTTTGATTTCTTATTTCTCACAGCAGCCTTCTAAAGTAGGCATCATTCTTCCTGGTTGAGGAGATTCCCTCGGGCTAAGGAGCTAGAGCCCACACTCAGACATATCACAGTGACAGGAATCACAGTCAGATCGTATCAGATGCTCCTTCCTCTCGAGGGGGATCCCAGGTGTGTGCTACGTGGATAGACGGATGTGACTAAGGATGGAAGTGCCCTTCGTTTCTGGAATACATTCTCCTTGGGCGTGGTTACCAGTCATTTTGCTAGTTTGTTTAGTATTTTTAAATGTTTACTCATCAGTCAGATTGGGCTGTGCTGGGGGGCACTTCTGTCAAGTTTTGGTATCAGGGTTATGCATCTTTGGTAAAAAATAATTGGGAAGTGTCCCATCTTTTTAATGTTCTGTAATATTTAAATAGCATTGGAGTTCTGCTAGGACATGCTTCCACCCCTGCCTGTCGTCCCTGAGACACGGGCCAGAGCCATTTGTAATTTTTGTTAGATTATTGGACAGTTTAGCTTTTTTTCCCCTCAAGTTTTGGTAATACGCTTTTTTAAAAAAACAAAGTCATCCTTTTCATCCACATTTTCAGCTCTCAGCGTGTTTTTTTTAAATAGCTTTATTGCAATATAATTCACGTAACATACACTTCGCCTTTTCAAAGTGTACGATTCAGTGTTTTTTAGTCTATTCAGTGAGTCGTGCAACTGTCACTACAAGGAATTGTAGAACATTTTTCATCACCCTAAAAAGAAACCCTGTACCTGTTAGCAGTCACACACACACGCACGCACGCACGCACGCACGCACGCACACACACCCGCCCTAGGCCACTAATCTACTTTCTTCTCTATAGATTTGCTTATTCCTGACATTTCATGTAAGTGAGATCATACAATATATGACATATCTTTTAGTTAACATAATGTTTTCAAGGTTCAATTCATATATCAATATTTGATTCTTTTTATTGCCGAATAATATTCCGTTGTGGATATAACACATTTTATCTGTTCTTCAGTTGATGGCCATTGAGTGGTTTCTACTTTTGGGCTATTATGAATAATCCTGCTATGAACACTTGTGTACAAGCCTTTGTGTGGACATATGTTTTCATTTCTCTTGAATATATACCTAGAAGTGGAGTTGCTGGGTAATTCAATAACTCTTTAACTTTAGCATGGGATTTTAAGTAGTAATGGCTTTTAGTTTTTTTTCAGTATTTTTCACATCTTTGGTTATTATATCTTTATCATTTTAAGTGGATGAGTACATATTTTTTATTCTTCATTAGAGTTTTTAGAAATTTGTTCATTATTTAAAGATCAAGTTGTTAAATTTATCAATTCTCTATCTGTTAGTTATTTAATTTCTGCATTTGTATTTGTCAGCTCCTCTTGCTTTCCTTAGGGATGTTTTTGTTCTCTTAAAAGTACTAAGTTGAATGGGCAATTTTTTTTTTTTTCACTTTGCTGTTTAATACAACTTTGAGCATATTCCCTAAGTTGTAGTATGAAACATTTCCAATATTGTTATTTACCAAATGGACTGTAACTGTAATTGTGATGTCCCCCTTTACCCAAGAGTTGTTTAGGGACTGTTTGTATTTTGTGTTTGTTTGTTTTTAATTTCCAGTGGTTGACTGCAATGCAGCAAAATGAGAGATCAGTAAAAGCTCAACTGCTAAAAAGTATACATGGCTTATATAATTTCTGCTTTTTGAAATCAACTGATTATCAATCAAGCATTAGTGCAGGAAGCAGAAAATTCTCTAGGCATTTTAAGCAGGGATGGATCTCATACAGGGGACTAAGATGATTATAAAATCATTGGAAGGGCTGAAGGCATAGGTTCTAGGCTGAGCTTCCAGCAGTGTCTCCCAGAACATTGGAGACCTGGCCCACATGGGGAGCCATGACCCTTGATGCTGCTCTGGAACTATCAGTTCTAGAATATCCCTTTAGCCCCAAACCAGAAAGCAGGAATCAAGACGTTTGCATCATAGTCACTGTCACCACCCCAGATCTCTCTTCCCAAGCACAGTGCTGGGGATTGGACCTTCAAAAGCTGCTGCAGAAAAAGCTCACATATCCAGTGACCTGCTCGCCAGCAGCTGAAAAAGGACAGGAAAATGACTTCTGCCTTGCCTCTGTCTTCTAGGACTCCAGTGAGTGCATTTAATTAGAGAAACCTAGTAAGGTGTCTGTGAAATGTCGATTTTAGCTTTCCACCCTCTCCATCTGGAACTGTGGTTTTCAAACCTGTGTTGCACATTAGAATCAGCTAAGCAAGTTTTTAAAAATCCTAGTACTTCAGACCAATTATATCAGAATCTCAGGATGGGATCCTGGAGTTGGTAATTCCCAAGCTTCGAGCTGACTTAAGCTATCAAAGACTGAGAAAGGTGAGCTAAAATTGTCACTATTATTGTGTATCTGTAAGTTACTTCTTGTATTTCGAGTACCTTTTCTATTAACTTGCAGCAGTATTATTCCATAAATAAAGGCTTATGTGCTGTGGTATGTGTACTTTGGAGTCCTCGGGTGGTACAAACAGTTAACTTGTTTGACTGCTAATCAAAAGGTTGGAGGTTTGAGTCCACCCAGAGGTACCTTGGAAGAAAGGCCTGGTGATCTTCCAAAAATCAGCCATTGAAAGTCCTGTGCAGTACGGTTCTCCTCTTAACACAAGGAGTCACCACGAGGCGCAGTCCGCTGGACGGCACCTGGTTTGTGTGCATGTTATCAATATGTTTTCTGTCTCAGTGCTTTTTGAATTGGATTCTACTTTGTCTAATACCAGCATAGAGTGATCTTGCTTTCTTTTGGTGGGCTGATAGTTGGATTTTGTTTTTTGACCCAATCTGTAAGGGAAACCAGATCAAGTTACATATGTTGTTATAACCGATATATTTGCTATGAACGCTCTTGTTTCCAAATTGTCCATAGTATTTGGAATATAATTTCTTTGCGTTTTTCTTTTCCAAACTTTTTGAAAATATATATTCTGTCCCATCCCCCTTTGCTCTTCTTCAGATGTACTTTAATTTTGTCTCACTCCTAAGGGTCAACCAAAACTCATACTATCATAACTGTCATTGGTGTGTAAGAAAAAAAGACCAATAGCAGTTGGCCAATTAACATTGAAATGTCTCATTTTAATGGACGATTTTTATTATCTTTTTTTCAATTTCTTGGAAAAAAAAGCTATTTTGGAAATTTTCAGACATACACAAAAGAATAGATACAATAATATAATATGCCTTTATGTACCCATCATTCCGCATCAACAGTTGTTAAAGTGTGGCTAATCTTGATTCACCTTTTTTTTTTTCTTCCCCAGAGGGGAAGTGGGGGAAGGCCTGGAATATTTTAAAGCAAAACCCTGACATCATTATCATTGTACCTGTAAATACTTAAGAACATCACCCTAACAAAAAATAACTTTAAAAAAAAGCCAATGTCATTTTCATACCTAACAAAGTAAAAATTTCCTAGTATCATCTAATACCCAGTTCACATTCAGATTTCCCTGATTGTTTTAAAAATGTTTTATTATGTTTCTAATCAGGATCTGTAGTGGGCTGAATGTTAGACCCCCAAAAGATATGTCCAAGTCCTAATCCCTGAAACCTGTGACTATTACCTTCTATGGCAAAGAATAAATATTACCTTCTATGGCAAAAGATGTGATTAAAGTAAGGATTTTGAGAGGAGGCACCTCTCCTGGATTACACTAAGAAGCCCTAACTGCAATCACGTGTATCCTTCGAGAGGGGGAGGCAGTTTTGAGACAAAAGGAGGTGCAGCAGTGTGATTACAGGCAGAGATGGGAGTTACACGGTCACACGTCAAGGAATGCCTGGAACCATCAGGAGCTGGAAGAGGTAAGGGGCTGATTCGCCTGAGAGCCTTAGGAGGATGTTATGGATTGAGCTGTGTCCCCCTAAAATGTGTGTCAACTTGGCTAGGTCATGATTCCCATTATTGTGTGATGGTCCACCATTTTGTCATTTGGTGTGATTATCCTATGTGTTGTAAATCCTGGCTCTGTGATGTTAATGAGGCAGGATTAGAGGCAGTTACGTTAATGAGGCAGGACTCAACCTACAAGATTAGGTTGTATTTTGAGTGAATCTCTTTTGAGATATGAAAGACAGAAATGAGCAGAGAGACGGGGTGACCTCATACCACCAAGAATGAAGAACCAGAAGGGCAGTGCATCCGTTGGACCTGGGGTCCCTGTGCTGAGAAGCTCCTAGACCGGGGGAAGATTGGTAACAAAGACCTTCCCCCAGAGCCAACAGAGAAAAATAATTTCCCCAGGAGCTGGCACCCTGAATTTGGACTTCTAGCTTCCTAGACTGTGAGAGAATAAATTTCTCTTTATTAAAGCCGTCCACTTGGGGTGTTTCTGTTACAGCAGCACTGGATGACTAAGAGGGAGGGGAGCCCTGCAGATGCCTTGATTTCAGACTTCCACTCAGAAGGACCCATCGAGTCGACTGGTTCATAGGGACCCATGTGACAAAGTACTGCCCCACGGGGTTTTCTTGACTGTAATCTTTCTCCCGCAGAGCTGGGAGGTTTGAACTGCCAACCTTTCAGTTAGCAGCCAAGCGCTTAACCAGTTGTGCCACCAGAGCTAGGAAATCCTACGGGGCAGTTCTACTCTGTCCTGTGGGGTCACTGTGAGTCAGAATTGACTGGGTGGCACGTAACAACAGTCTCCAGAACTGTGGGAGTAATTGTTGTTTAAACCACCAAGTTTGTGGTAATGCATCGTGGCAGCACCGGGAAAGTAATGCAGGATCTCAGTAAAATCCACACCTCGCCTTTGGTTACTGTGTCTCTTAGTCTCTTTTGGCATCCCTTGGTGGTGCAAAGTTCAGCCCTCTGCTGCTAAAGAAAGCTTAGCAGTCCGAGTCTACCCACAGTCACCTCGGAAGAAAGGCCTGGCTATCTTCTCAAAAATAAGACACCAAAAAGCCTATGGGGCACAGTTCTACTGTGACACACATGGGGTCGGCATGAGTCTTGAAGGCAACTGGTTTGGTTCTTTTGTTTTAGTCTCTTATTCAGTAACAGCCTCCTTCCTTGCCTTTTTTTTATGCGATTATTGATTACAGGAAGCGGGCTGCCCAGTGAAACACCCCACACTCTGGATTTGGCTTATAGCTCCTTGGTGTTTAATGCATTCCTCTGTCCCTCCTATTTCTTGTAAACTGGTAAGCTCCATCTAGAAGCTTAATCAGATTCAGGTTCCATTTATTATAAGTGGTCCTTTATTTGGCTTTGTCTTTCAGTTAGTTGAAAATATTCACATAATTATTTTCAAGAAGGGCATAGCAATACTCTGAATCCTTGCAAATACGAGAATTCTTCTGAGGTCTTCCAGCATGGAAGATAACTTGACTGAGAATAGAAGTTGAGTCTCAGTCCTTTTTCTCGTCGAGGCTTGTTTTCTGGCATTTAGTGGAACAGAGATCTGAAACTAGCTTCTTGTTTGTTTTGTAAGTAACATTATTATTTTGGTCAGTGTCTTACTAGAATTTTCATTCTAGCCAAAATACTTGGCAGAGTCTGTCCAGGTATGAGTCTGTTTTTGTCTGATTATATTAAGGTGCTGGTTTGCTGCTACAAAGACCATAAAACAACAACAAAAACAAAACAAAAAAAAGCAAGCAAACGCACAGCCGTCGAGTGATTCCGACTCATAGCGACCCCACAGGACAGAGTGGAACTGCCCCACAGGGTTTCCAAGGCTGTAAACCCTCACGGAAGCAGACGGCCACATCTTTCTCCCGCGCAGGGGCTGGTGGGTAGGAACCGCCGACCTTTCGGGTAGCAGCCGAGCGCTTTGACTGCTGCGCCGCCAGGGCTCCGTAATAACAGAGGCGTAAGCAAGATAGAATGTTCTCTCAGGTACAGGTTAACGTCTAGGCGGTGCAGCGCTGATGTGGCAGCTGCAGTGTCAGGACTACCCTGACTTCTGGCCTCCATTGTGTTTATGGCCATTCCAGCTCCCAACGCCACCACCCGCGCTCCATCCAGCAGGAAAGGAGGCTCATCCGCCTCTTTAAAGGGTGCACTGTGGACAGATGGCTAGTAAGCCCGTCCCTGTCTTTTTTCTCGGTGGTTCCATGAAACTAGACCATGCCATGCGCTGAAGCTTTCTCATTCCAGTTCTGTGTATCTTATCATATCTCAGTGTTCCTTGCTTTTTCATATTCTGTTGTTTTTTTTTTTTTTTAAGACTTTTTGGCACTGAGTTTTCACATTTTTTGATGTTTAATGAGAAACTGTAAGAAGCCACACTGAAGGCTGCTAACTGGGAGTTGTTTTGGAGTTGGGGGTAGAAACCCTGGTGGTGCAGTGGTTAAGAGCTAGGTTGCTAACCAAAAGGTCGGCAGTTCAAATCTACCGGAAACTCTGTGGGGGCAGCTCTTCTCTGTCTTATGAGTTGGAATCGACTCAATGGTAATGGGTTTGTTTGTTTGTTTCCTTATATTTAAGGAGCCCTGGTGGTGCAGTGGTTAAAACGCTTGGCTGCTAAGTGAAAGGTCAGTGGTTTGAACCCACCAGCCACTCTGGGAGAAAGACGTGGCAGTCTGCTTCCGTAAAGATTACAGCCTTAGAAACCCTACAGGGCAGTTCTACTCTGTCCTGCAGGGCCACTATGAGTCGGAATCCAGGCAACGGGTTAGGCTTTTTGGTTTTCTTATATTTAAATTAGAATCATAGACCCTGATTATCATGCTCAACCCTTCATTTTACAGATGAGAAGGCCGGTCTCTACGAGACTGCTGTGCACAGGGTCGCACAGCTAGTGCAGAAGCAAGCGGGAGGAAAGTCTGGGAGGTGCGAGGAAAAGGAGCTCTGACCGGCACGGTGCACGCGCCGGGCCCCGTCTCGCCCCAGCGCCCG